GACCAAGAATTAGATCAGGAAATAACAGATGAAATATGTGAATAGCAAAAATAAATCTATAAACGAACTAAGTAAATTCAGATAACTAAACCACCGTAGCTTCGGGATAACCTTAATGAGTAGGGATTGTTTCTAAGGATGGAGAATCTACGAATATCGAACTCTAATCGGGGATCTCAAGTTCTAATATCAGATTTGGCTCTCTCAAGTCCTAAATCCACTATCCAATAGTTTAACCTATCGATCTCTCAACCTAATAGATTAAAATATCAAATGCATTAACGATCACTATCACAGTTCCTAAACCGATTAACCTATCTCTCAATAGTCTTAATCAATTCATTCAATGAATTCATTCCGAATCTAATCTCAACTCTCGTTGCAAATCAGAATCTAAAATCAATCAATCAACTGGCCAAGAAGATCAAAAGCAATAAACTCAATTCAATTAAACCGAAGAGTATCGATAACGTAGTCTCGGAAAATAAAAACCAAACAAATCCCTACAAGGTTAAATCCCTAGCTACAGTGAAACGACTACTCACTACCCATAACAACGAACGAGTTCAAATCAATAAGAAGAAACATAGAAACAGATAAAGAAGACTCGCAGCGATCTCTCGACGACGATTCTTCAATCTCTGCTCCCGGGAAACTCCGTCTTGATTCTCTCTCGAGTTCTCTGGCTTCTGCTGTGATCTCTCGATGATTTCTGAAGCCCAAGACGTCTCCTATTTATTTGCTTGGCAGCTGGGCTTCTTCCTTTGCTGAAAACGGAAGTTCAGATGCAAAATAGGAAGTTTTCCCGTAACGCAACACGGCCGTGTCGAATGCAACACGGTCCGTGTCAATTCTCTGTTAAAAATCTGCACTTTAGACTTGGGCTGAACACGGCCGAGTTTGAATCAACACGGCCGTGTCGAATGACAACACGGTTCGTGTCAATTCTCTGAGCAAAACTTCACTTTTTTCAGCACGGACACAACACGGCCGTGTCGAATGCAACACGGTCCGTGTCGATTCTTCAACTCGAACATGCTTGACCGATTTGCTCATAACTTTCTGCTCCAATGTCGGATTTGTGCGATCTTGTGTCTATGCGTAGATATTGAAGAGAGCTTTCCAATGAGGTAGAGAACATGCAATTTGGACTTATAGAGTGGAAGTTATTGGACTTGCAAGATCTGACTTTTTAGGCTTCATGTTTTTCTCCGGAACAACTCCAAATGTTCCCGTTTCGTCTGTGATGTTCCGTAGTCCATGTTTTCCACTCCTTTTGCTCTCTTTTATGCATGAATACCTGTTTTGACACCAAAGAAAGCAACCAAGCAATATCGAGACCAATTATGCTCTAGAATGCCTATAAATATGCAAAACCGAGTAAAATGCACTAGACATCCTATACCAAAATGTCACCAAAATACATGTCATCACTGACCAGAACTTGGTCCGCCGGACCAGGCTCAGAGAAAACTTGGAGAAAATTTCCCGTTCGCCGGGAAAAAGGAAACGGCCAACGGGCTTGGTCCGGGCCTGATCAGACTTGACCGTGGACAAACCAACCCCCACCAGAGGACAAGACTTCACGATTGGGATGAATCGAACCGAGTTTTTGCCAGAACGTTGCGTAGCGTAGTGAGATGTGCGATATCGAAATACGAGTGATCGTTGCGTGATTGTTTGCAGGTAGAATTTACATGGCGTTAAACGGTAGCTCGGTAGAGACCGGATGCCGTGATACGTATGGTTGTACTATGGGGATGTTGCACGTTGTGTGCCATGTGTGTAGCTTGCTCGTGCGTACGAGTTAAGCGTGATTGTGTTTGTGGATGGTTGTGGACTCAACCATCACCGTCATGGACTTGACGGGCGTGGACTCGCACCTAGTCATGGACTTGACTAGGGTATATGGCTGGACCCTATGGTGGACTCCATACGGGTATGATTGTATTTTCGTTGTGTCATGGACTTGACATCGGTAGTCACGAGAGTGACAGGCACAGGAGACGCGCACGATCGCATGCGATGCAATGGCCAACGTCACGCAAGTGACGGGTGTGGATTCGCCCCTGGTCATGGACTTGACCAGGGTATACGGCTAAGTCCTATGGTAGACTCCATATGGGCGTGATTGTGATTGCTATTTACGTGCTTACTGTGTTTTACTCATTGCATGTGCTTTTATAGAAATGTCGACTGTACCGTTCTCGTTGGGAACCGGATCTCCGGGTTCAACCCGGGCTACTCACTAAGCAGTTGTGCTTAGCCCTCGTGGTTTACATTTTTCAGATCACGAGGATTACGCTTAGCGCATCCGGCAGACGACGACCTGAGAGAGATAGCATCATGTACGGGATTTACATTTTGGGTTACGGGACTTGTATTTCCTGCATTTTGTACGGTTAAATTATAACTATTCGGACATGTGTTATTTTGCGATACTAATCGCCTGTTGTATTTTCCGCTGCTTACTCTATTAGTTGAAAAATGATTTTGGATTTCGTATTTTTGCTTCCGCATTATTATTTTATTACTATTTGTCCATGTGGTACAACCCGTATACTGTACACGGGTTACGGGTGTCATAATTTTTGGTATGAGAGCCACGTTCTTTCCTCGGGAAGAAATCGTACTCGTTACCCGATAGTTTTCTACGAAAAATGTTTTCAAACCATGTCCGAAGAAAATCCTCTTGTCCGAGGTCCGTACATTGATGATGCAGTATCGGTCATCAGTTGCTAAACTATCTTAATGTGGTGCAGTGAAATGGCGCCACGACGTGCTAGGCTTGCAGCGAGGGCTGACGACAT